TCTTCTTATTTTTATTGTTATATAAAAAATAAATAGTAATAGAATTCATTTACAACCTTACCAAATTATTAGCGAAAATTTATGATTACAATGTTAACTTTTCTAGTTTTCACTTTATCCAAAGAGTTCACAAGTCTCTATATGTGATTTGTTACTTTAATATAAGTTTCCAAAACGATTTATGTCTTGACTTTATTTACTTTCTTATACTAATACTCAAAAAACAACTTCATTTCACTATACTTTTTGTTTTTTCATAAAGAGTAAATAGAAAAATAAACAATTTATGACCTTGACTTTTCGAAAATTCGTGAAAGTTAACTTTTTAGATTTTCTTAACATATTTTGTACTTGTATAAAAGAATAAATACGAATTGAAACTATTGACTTCTTTGGAATTCAAACAGCTAACTAGTCGAATAGTTCAATATATTGTGAAAGAAACATTCAACTAAACAAAAGTTATAGAAAAAAATCAATTTTTATTTGGCTTTTTGATTGCTAACACTGTAATGTGTTTAATTAATATTTTTTTGTCAATTTTTATACATCAAATATGTAAAATTGTTTAAATAATCATTTGAAAACTAAGTGTAATTTGTTGACTTGTAAATATATAAATTATTAAATTTTAATTTCTAATTGTTAATAAATTTGATTATAAATTTTCATATAAATTCAAAAAAATACATGCATTTAATTTCTTTTCGTATGTGGATGAAATATTTTTAAGAAAGATTCAAACTGTTTCATCAGTTCTTACTTAACAGACAACAAATTTCTGTTCTATTTTTAAAATTTAATTAAACTAGTACAAACAAATGAATTAACAAAACAAAATAACGTGCATAGGCCATCTGGGTATTAACAGCAAGTTTATGCTCCAAACGTCACAACATTGACGAAAAAAAAAAGACTAAACCTGATTTCATCAATACTTAACTTACAAAAAAAATTAGTATAAATTTTGTAAAACACATTTTTCTCAGTTTTAATACAAAATTGTATGTTAGTTTTTTTATGTATAAATGTAATGTAGATCAATTTTATACGTTTGTCAAAAATGTGGACCAAATTAATTAATCTCTTTTTCAACTTGAATTAACAATTAATTAAGAAAAAAGTAATTAAGTTTATGTAATTTATGTTGCATACATTTGTCTTGAAAAATGTATGAGTTGTTCATCAAAAAGGAATCCCTTAAAGAGTGTTTCTCTGTACTATTTAAGGAAGTGGCACTCTTTCTTGAAATGTTAAGAGAACAATGCGTTCGGTTCGTGGATTTCCACTCTGCGCAATTAAAAATTAACGTGAATGAGTGTAATGTTCGAGTGCACGGATACGGAAATTGGAAAAAAAAAGATTCAAACTATAAAAAAACATATTATTTTACAGTTATTTTCAGTTGAAATTTTCATAATCAATAATTAATAATTACTTAATTAAAACTATAATTAAATTCAATACTTTTACATATTTTAATTGTTTTTATTATGAGGATTTTGTCCAATTTCAAAAATTGTAAATTTATATGAGATTAATGAAAAATAATCATTTTTAAATTTGTTTTTTTTATAATTTTTGCAATAAAATTATAAAAATATTTTTAGAAAAAAATAATGAATATGTAAATATTGTATATTAAGTACATATAGTAATGATAAATAATATGTGAGTAAACTAAATATGTTGCTTATATTAAAAAGTAATTTGCGTTTCGATCGATTTTTTTATATTGGATGAAGCAAAAAAAATTCTGATCATGAAATAATTGTCTATGGAATTGTTTGTATTTACACACACCGTTGACATTCTTTACACTTTATGTTATTGGGTCATTAAGGAATTTGTAACAGAAATTATTTATTCATCAACATTATGATAAAAAAACATTAGTTACTTTCATTTTGTAATAATTGTCACAAATTGTCTTACTTTCTTTGATTTTAAATGTATACTTTTCCCGGTAAATCTGTACATTTACCGAACTTGTAAGTAAATGTAAGTATAAATCTGACAGCAGCGTCATATATCTACTTTTACCAGTAAATGTTTACATCTACCTACATATATCTGCAAAAGTTTAAGATAAACAATCGTTTTTATTCATAAACAATATGTTACATTCCATAGGTTTTTTTCTCTAATATTTACTTAAACTTAAATATTGAAAAAAAGGAAAATAAAAAAATTACACAATTCTTACTTTTATTCTTCTATTCTTTGTTACCGTCGATTTTAAAGCGTGATCAAAATAATTCATTTACGCTAAAAGTACACAATCGGTAAATGTAAGTATAAATCTGACAGCAGCATTATATATCTACTTTTAACGGTAAATGTTTACATCTACCTACGAATATCGGCAAAATTTGAAGATAAACAAACGTTTTTATTCATAATGAATATGTTACATTCCATAGGGTTTTTTCCCTCACATTTACTTAAACTTAAATATTGAAAAAAGAAAATAAAAAAAATACACAATTCTTACTTTTATTATTCTATTCTTTGGTAGCGTTGATTTTAAATCATGATCCAAATAATTCATTTACGGTAAAGTACACAATCGGTAAATGTAAGTATAAATCTGACAGCAGCGTCATATATCTACTTTTACCGGTAAATATTTACATGTACTTACGAACATCGGCAAAAGTTGAAGATAAACAAACGTTTTTATTCATAAACAATATGTTACATACCATAATTCTTACTCTTATTCTTTGCTAGCGTTGATTTTAAAGCATGATCCAAATAATTCATTTACGCTAAAAGTACACAATCGGTAAATGTAAGTATAAAACTGACAGCGCTCTTTTGTTTGGGGTCTCTGCAAAGGCATTCGATGGCATTATTTGACAATGGCAGTGGATGCGAGAGAGAGAGAGATATAATTTTAGCGCATTGTTTATTTACTTTTGAAACCGCTGTGGCACCTACATGAACATTTACCGACATTATTCGGTAAATGTATACATTTCCCGGAAATTGTGGGTAAATCTAAGTTGAAGATACATTTATTATGTACTTTTACCGTGACATATGTATTACATAGATAAATATATATCATATAATTAATAAATATTCTAATTATGTTTAATTATTTAGTAACGATATGAAAACTTCAAATATATATAAATGAAATAATTAATGTATGCTTAATTGTGTAATTCTAAATCAATGTTGTGTTTAATTAATTGAGTTGTTAATGGTAATGAACATAATTTATTACACATAATTTCATATAATATTTACGTATAAAGAGCAGAGATATTGATAGAAATATATTTCATTGGAATAAAGAAATGTAAAATTATATGATGAAATATTTCAATCGTTGTTCATTTTCTCTTTTCAAAACTTTACAACAAATGCATTGAATGAACTAAAATGTATTTGAAGTTATAAGAAACATTATGAAAGCAAATATTTCAATCTTTATTAAAACATTCATATTGCATCAAGAAATGTTAAGAATTTAATATTACAATATTTGATTGAATTGTTAATATTATTACAACAAATTAATTGCATGAACTAAAATGTTTATAAGAAACATTATAAAATCATTTATTTTCTATTTTCATAGCTTTGAAAGAACTAATTTTAAAACAGGCACTGAATAATTATAAGAAAATGTGTAAATGATAAATTTATATAGTGAAAGTATGGAAACGCAATTATTTTAAAGTAAATTCGAAGATAGTAAAATCTGAAATGTACATAAAGTATAAATAATTATTTACTTGTGTATTTTATCAACTTCTATTATAAAAATATTGTTACAACAAAATTCATTGAATAAACTAAAATATTTATATCTTTTTGAAACTGTAAGAAACTTTGCAAAAGCAAATATTTCGGTCTTTATTAGTTTCCAGAGTAAGTTTAAAACAAACAATGAATAATTATTTGTAATTGAGAACTGTATGTATTGAAAGTATGAAAACGAAATTATTTTAAATCTTTATTAGTTTCCAATTTCCATAGAATAAATATATGAAAATGTGTAAACTGAAATGAACATATTTAAAAGTATTATTTGTAATGGCTCAAAGAGCTCAAGCTCGCAAAAAGCCACAAAAACAAATAACTTAAATCATGTAACAATTCACATTAATAAAGAAATTTAAAACGGAAATGAAAAAGTATTATTGAGATATTAAAAACTGAAACATTATAAAAGCAAATATTTCGATCTTTATAAGTTTCCAGAACTAAGTTTAAAACTAACAATGAATAATTATAAGAAAATGTGTAAATGAGAAATGTATATATTGAAAGTTGGAAAACGTAATTATTTTAAAATAAATAAGAAGTTAGTAAAATCTGAAATGTGCATAAAGTATAAATAATTATTTAGTTGTATATTTTAACAATTTGTATTATAATAATATTATTACAACAAATTCATTGAATCAACTAAATTATTTATATTTATTCAATCTTTATTAGTTTCTTATTTTCATAGCTTTAATAGAAATAATTTTAAAACTAACAATGAATAATCATAAGAAAATGTGTAAATGATAAATTTATATATTGAAAGTTTGAAAACGCAATTATTTTAAAGTAAAATCTTGAAATAAAATTAGAAGATATTAAAATCTGAAATGTACATAATGTATAAATGATTATTTACTTGTGTATTTTAACAATTTGAAAGAAATTGAGTTCAATTTTGTTGAATTTAATTAAAATTTGCAGAAAAACCTTTGTTCGAAGAGAAAAATCATTGCAAAATTAAAAAGTTAATCAAAATGGAAAAATACACAAAAATCAGTGAAAAATGTTATATTTTATGTAATCGTACAATTAGAGCAAGTAAGACAATCAAAATTCAATTTTTTTTAATTTGATATCAATAATTTAAAAAAGTAATTAAAAAGAAATGTGTTTGTTCATAAGTTTTCAAACTTTCTGTGTATTTTGATGGATTTGTTGAGGTTTCAAATGTATGTGTTTATTGGATTCTGCTGTACTGAAATGTTACTTACAAAAGGTTTTTAGAAAATCGTGAAACCAGTTGGGGCACCATCCAATTAACCCCAGATGCTCAAACATAATTTAACGTACAAAAAAGTTTAAAATTTAATTTTTCTTATTTAGAAAAAAAAGAACAACTGCTGTTAATTGTTAAACTACGAGTTAATTTAAATTGTCATCGGTTTGGATTAAATTCGTCTGTTATTAATTATATTTTTATTTGTTTGTTTTTTGTTGTTGTTCTTGTTGTTGTTAATATTTAAATTCTTCGAAATGCGAGACTTTTGCGCACGCGGCGGCGGTTCACGCGTTGTTCCCAGCACGTAGTGTTGTCGTGTCGCACGGAACCCCCCCGGTGCAAACGTCGGCGGCGGCGGCGGACTGAACCGCCAAAAGTTCGGGCCACTTTGGCGTCGAGACGCAGGCGCCGCCGCCCCCCGAGAGCTTGCGATAAACTGAATACAAACTGGTAGCGCAATTGTGCGTCCCGCCGCACACCCTACGCCGTTCACGACCGCCCCCCATTTCATTGTGTGTGTATGTATGTACGTGCGTGCATGTATACATATACACACACTTATACATAAACAACAACACATGCACAATGTGTGTGTGTTTGTGTGTTTAACGCAAAAACCTCCCTTAGCCTGTCGGAACGCACCGCACTTCGCCTTTCCACCAAACAAACAACAAATTATTTCGCGGCCCCCCAATTTTCTTTAATGAAATCACACACAGCCCTTTCGGATTTAATATTGATTAACTCGACGTCCACACTAAAACCACCGTCCCGCCACCCCCCAACAGCATTAATAACAATAATATTCCCACTTCCCCCCCTTGGAAACTATTTTTGTTTATTGAAGTGACAGCACGTAATTAAGGACTTGCAGCACTTAAATTTTACAACTATTTTAATCAATATTTGTAATTAAATTAAAAGCATTTTACTTAATGTTAATTTGTCACACACTTTGTTTTTTAATCTAGTTAAAATAAAGATGTGAGATTGTAATTATGTCAACTTTTTACTTATATGAATAGAAATTTAAAAAAAAGTCATAAACGCCATTTTTTTTAATAATACTAATTTAAATTTTATACTTCTACAGGTATCCCCCGACTTACGAACTCCCGGACTTACGAACTCTAACTTGTTACATGGAAATATAAAGTGATAAAAAATTAACTGTACAAACAAAAATTGATAATTTCTTTAATAAAATAAAACATTTTTGGAAGATCTACAATATTGTTGATGTCTACATTGAGAAGTATTTACAAGTAAACCGAATTTAACATATATAAAACTAAAAAACCATGATAAAGTATGGTATTTGAGGGGATGCAATGGATCTTCTAACACAGTGGTTTCCAAACTTGATGTTACTACGCCTCCCTCAAAAGTATGTAATCATTTGGCGCCTCCACTTTCATAAAAGGAACGCGCATTACAGC